AAAGATACAGAGTGGTCGTTATCAGAATAAGCATTTACTGCCCTCACAAATAACTTCGGTCTATCTCTCTCTATCTCTTTGCATCCAACATTAATAAAAAATATACAAGATACGTCTCGTGGCAAAAAGACCCCGATTCGCTGGCAGTAGACGCTTTTACGCTGAACTGAAAAAATTTAAATTCCTATGCATTTCCACCGTACTGCTTAAAATTTAAAGCAATCCAAAAAATAATTCAGAACAGGGCTGAAGGAGTAATTGTGATCCCAAGATGGCCTACACAACCGTGGTACCCGCTAATAACTAAATATAAAATTGGAAAAGAAATCTATTTTCCACCCAACCATAACCTTTCGACGTCTCCTTTCAGAGCCGTTCACCTGCTGTCCAGAAGCCTTTCCCTGGAGGCCGTGAAGTTGTCCGGCAAAGTTTAATAGCTCAAGGAATTTCGCAACCAACAGCAAATACAATGTTATCATCAATATCAGAATCAACCTTCAAACAATACACGAACATATATCGATTGTGGTGGAACTACTGCCAGACAAACAATATTCCTTTATACGAAGCATCAGTTACCGACATAATCCACTTCCTACAATACCTTTTCGAAGAAAAACAACACAAGTACGGCACCTTCAATAGTCATCGATCAGCCCTTTCGCTGATATACGCCAACGAAACAGGATCTCACCCACTCGTTAAAATATATTTAAAAGCCATAGCCAGGGAGAGACCTGCCAAACCTAAGTATAACAATACTTGGGACCCCGCTCCTGTACTGGAATATCTGGAAAAACTGAATGACAAAAACCTAAAATGCTTGAGTCATAAGTTAACAACCCTAATGGCGTTAGTAACAGGTGGCCGCCTACAAACTGTTTCATTAATCCGTATATCGAATATTGTTCAAGACCCACAAAAAATACAAATACCCATCACAGACATGATGAAAACCTCAATCACATTAAAAGAACAACCATGCCTTCATATACCATTTTTCCGAAAAAACGAAACAATTTGCCCAGCCTCAACTATCATAAAATACATGGAAGCGACAAAAAATATCAGAGGTAACGAGGACTTCTTGTTCATCACTTACGCCAAAAGCCACAAAAAGGCAACCAAGCAGACAATCAGCCGCTGGGTAAAAGACACCCTAAAAGAGGCGGGCATAGACACGAATGTTTACAAACCCCACTCCACGCGGCATTCCTCGACGTCAGCCGTATACAGAGCCGGCGCTGACATTGAAACTATTTGCAGAAAAGCCGGATGGTCAGAAAATACTTCTACCTTTGCACAATTTTACAATAGACCATTGAGAGGGAAGGAATCCGAATCCTTTGCAAATACCGTCCTCACGCGGGGAAAAACATCAATATAATCATAAATGGTCACAGGGATGCGAGTAGAGATCAAAATCAACACATCTGTAACTCTAAACAACTACCTAGTACTTATGATGTACTGTTTGGAACCTTTGGTGTAGTAATGAATATTACTGGAGTTTTATCTTCCTCTTGAAGATAATCACTTGGTGATCGGAACACGTGTCGAGGTGTAAAAATAACGATTTGGTGTTGGGAAAAACTCCAGTAATATTCATAACTACCTAGTAAATACCTTCGGAATGGACGCTGAAATATAATTAAACGATCAAAAGAACTTACCTGAAGTTCGATCGTAATTATATGAAGCGTCCATTCCGAAGATATAAAAACCCACCCTCCCAAAATGGTTATTTTCCCCTAACTAGATGTGTTGAATTTGGGCTATAAACGAAATAAAGACCGGTGGCATGGCGCTGAGCGATAGGGCACTGTAAGTAGAGGGGGACAATTTCGAGTCTTTGAAATGTGTGTGCGATACGTAGCCAGGGGCGTACTACCTAGTAGATATCTTCGGAATGGACGCTTCATAATATTACGATCGAACTTCAGGTAAGTTCTTTTGATCGTTTAATTATGAGTAATGCTTTCATATTTACGAATACCGAAAATCAACCTCAAGCAAGAATTTTGTATTTTTTGTATTTTCTTTTTATAAAAAACTGTGAGATTTGGATCATACAGACAATCTGCGAAATTAAAATTGGACAAAACTAAGCTCTCGCAAAGTATTGATTTGATTTTTCTTGATAAATATTGTCTACTACTGTATATCAATTTCAAATGTCCATATGCTCTGCGAATTAGTTCATTCACATGTTTTTCAAAACGAAGATTCTCATCTATAATGACTCCCAGGTTTTTAGCATAATCAACCACTTCGAGTATATTTTGTCCAATTTTAATTTCCACAAGATTTTTTATATTTCTATTTTTTTTACGGCCAAAGACTAAAATATTTGACCTACTAGCATTAATTTGTAGACCGTGGTTTGAAGGTGAAGCTACAAATGCATTGATATCAATATTGATGCGTTCACATGCATCAGCAATGTCATTAGGATCAAATGAATGGTAAATTTGAGTATCGTCTGCATGAAGGTGCATTCGACAATATTCCAAATGTTTGATAATTTGACTTGTATATAGCGAAAAGAGAACAGGCCCAAGGATAGATCCTTGGGGTACACCTGATTTCAATAATAGGTTATTAGAATAGTTTTGGTCAAGACGTACCATTTGCCGTCTTTCCGTCAAATATCATCGAAGAAGTGATAGTGTGCTTTCAGTCAGATATCAGATATCATGATCAAATGCACGGCTAAATCGAGCACAACTAAGATAGTGCAGTTGCCCGTGTCTGTAGCTTCCATAATATCATCCACTACATGGAGAAGTGCCGAAGTGCAACTGTGGCCTTTTCTGAAACCAGACTGAATAACAGGAAGGAGTCTGTGAATTTCAAGATATGCTTCAATTTGCTTTTCCATTATTTTTTCAATTATTTTGGACATCGTAGGTAGTATACTGATTCCACGTAGATATTTGACATTTTCTGGATTTGATTTTTTTGGTAACACTGTGACTATGGCACATCTCCATGCAGATGGAAACACATTACTGGAAAAACAAAAATTGATTATGCGCGTAATGAAGGGAACAATTTGAGGACAACATAGTTTGATCATTTTCAAGCTCATTCCTTCCTGTAGAATTACTTTTTATTGAATTCATCATTTCATGAACAATTAACTCGTCAACAACTTTAAATCTGAATGCCGAGTTCATAAGGGAATTATTTTTGTAGAAATCTGAAATGGTTGTAGAATTATCCGTTTCAGGTAAAGAATTTATGAAAAACATATTAATTTCTTGAGGATTTTTCAAGTGATTTGGAATGTTACTCTTCTTCTTCTCGTTGAAAATATTATTCTTCCTAAGAATTGACCACCGTTCTTTATCTGATGAGTGATTTAATTTGTGATTAAAACAAGCCTTATTTCCCTCGTTATTGCCTGATTCGTGTGATTTCTTAACTGTTTATAATAATTCCTATCTGTCTTACGTTTAGTATGCTTAAATTTATTAAGAGCCCTGCCTCTAGTTTTCATAATCTTTTTAACATTTTCAGTTAACCAGGGTGCATGGGGTTTGGTAAATCTTTTGGTAACTAACGGAGCATGGAAATCAAATAATCTGATAACACTATCAACCAGAAATGAAACTTTGACATAAGAGATGAAAAAATGGTATTCTCGATAAGTCGTATTGAAATAAATCATAACTAAAGTTGTTATAATTTATATATGTCACCATTCTGGAATTTACAATTTTATAATCAGTTTTAATAACCACATATATCAATTCATGGTCTGCTAGATTATCAATTACTGTTTCTTTATTCAACACAATCACCAAATCTAACAAGGTAGCAGTGGTATCTGTAATACGTGTAGGAGTATCAATTAATTGTGTGAGGTCAAATTCTTCTAGAGTAGAAATAAATGTTTGAACTGCATTATTTTCTGAATTAAGTGAGTTGTAATTGAAGTCTCCAGTGCAAATAACTTGTTCCACCGTAGGTATTAGTAAAGCGAGAGTATCTTCAAGCTCAGAAAAAAATAATTTGGAGTGAAGTATTGGTGGCCTTGTATATTACTCCTATCGCGGTATCTTTTTTATGAAATCTTAGTTTAATCCAAATTTGTTCCAATGAGTTGTTGATATCACAAATGAGAAATGGAGAGAGTTTATCTTTAACATAGATACAAACACCACCACCCCTGGACTCACCATCCTTCCGGTAATATTAACTATTCCCTTACTCTAGGGAGAACGTTGATATTATGTTTACCGTCCCAGGAACCCACGAATTTATACGGCATTGACGAAATAAATGACCATATTGGATATAAAAAAGTGTGTTACACATTTTATTTTCAGTTGTTTTTTTTTGTGAATCAATAGCGTAGAATATATTCCAATTCATACTCTAATTCAACTCGATTTGATCCTGACTATATAAATATTATTAATTATTGTTGCATTTATTCTTTATTGTCCAATATTGTTATGCTAATTTTGGTTACTCCAAAAAGCGCTATTGCCAAGTTCCGCTGATAATTTCCTCTGTTCTCTGAGGGCGTTTCCTTACTGGTTTTATTCTTCTTTTCCACGGTTATTATTCATTGTGAGTCATTGTTTTGTGGGATATTTAGGCTGACTTTGTTATATGAAACCTTCATTAACAGAAGTTGTACAATTGTTATAGAAATACATTCATTTATTGCTATTGCCATCTGGACAGTAATTCCTCAACTATTTCCTGTCAGCTGTTGCAGGAACTGTCTACTATCGATTTTTGAAATCGATTACCGATGTTTCTTCTTCTTTTATTGTTTTTTTGGAAGTGAAGAGAGGAAAGGAGCCATTTTGTTCGTGATCTTTGAAAGAAACACATCGGGCCTAATTTTCGAAAGTGGTTAAGTAATTGACATTATTACCCTAGAGTGGGGATCAGCATTTTTCGAAAGTTGAGTAGTGATTATAGTACCTTCTATTGTCTCTTGTTGGTTTTTGGAGAATTTCTTAGAGAATTTCTAAAGGTCAATCACATCCTTTAATGGGGATCAGAGGCCCTGAATCGGTGAGTTGTGTCAGTTTTTTTTGATGTTTAAGACTTCATGCAATTCTATTTTTCTTATGCAGTTTTACTTCACATCTGTTGCTAGCGGTATCTGGCCTTTTTAAAGGAGAAAAGACGTTCCTGTGGATGGTACGAAAAGTTTTTTTTATTTCATATCCAGTTTTTATTCGATCTGTTTTTTTTGAGCAATTCTGGAACTTTCGTCACTCGAGTGATGTTTCACGATTTCAGAGGATTTTACCAGTCCAGAAAGCTAATTTGGGAAAAATATTGGCGAGTTATTTTCCACAGAAAACCTTTGTTTTGTCGGAAGAACATTCATCTAATTAAAATTGATTTACCAGCAGCAAAAACTTTTTTCTGAAGGTAGGAATGACTTTATTAATTAGTTGTTATTTTCCTTTATTTTATTTGAAAATTAGTATACATTCAATTCGTGATATTTTTCATAAGTTTTATTGATCTGAACAATGCTGTATATTTGGAGCTTCGAAATTAAATCAATTATGTTTTCAACACTATCTTTTTCAAAACCTATGGTGGACTTCATTTTCTTTTTGAACTCAGGATAGACTAGTACAGTCGATTAATGTCGGGAGACAAAAGCAGTCAATAACAGAAGACGGTTGATCTCTGCTAACTATTATATTCGAGATTTTGCTTTTGGATGTGAGAATGTAAACTTTTATTTTCAATCTCATATTACCAGGTGTATGTTATTCATTAGTATTACTACAATAGATATTGCTCTATCCTTGTTGTCAATTACTCGCCTGATCCATCCCATTGTTTCATGATTTCAGTCTGATGAACTTCTAAGAACTTTTTTTTTGGATAATAAAAAAAATCATGTGGCGCCCATTATAAAAGTTTGATTGAACCACTCCCTTCTCCACTGGTTAAAGGTTAGCGGCAATTGTCCAAATAATTAGTAATTGACCTACGAGGTAACGAGTTGTTTTTTTTTTAATTTTTTTTTATTGTTTATGATTTGGAACAAATATATTTGAGGAGAATTTTGAGCGCTACATTTTGGCGCCCAACGTGGGGCTATACAGATTTTTTTTTGTAATAATATTTTCTTCATTTCAAGAAAATTTGTTTTTTTTATCTTTTGTTCTGTGATAATATATTCTGTGGATAGTTATTTGTACTGGTATACTTATTTAATTCAACGATATTCACTAGTATTCTACATCATCAGTTCCTTGTTCGGTGGAAAAAAACTTCTCCTAGAAATTAGTCAGGATGTCAAGAAAAATGACAATCAATCGTTTGGATAAGGATGAATTAGAGTATGAGGTTTGAGAAGAGTGGAGAAAGTTTGAGATACCCAATGTATCCTTTCACTTTTGAAGAAGATTTGGAGGCAATGACTAAGAAGCTGGATGAAGATATATCGAAGAGGATAGAAGATTTCTCATCTGGTACGGGAAGTAGTGAAGTTGTTAAAATACAAACAAAGTTTGGTCGAGTTGATCGGATGGATGGAGNCAGGTTTGAGAAGAGTGGAGAAAGTTTGAGATACCCAACGTATCCTTTCACTTTTGAAGAAGATTTGGAGGCAGTGACTAAGAAGCTGAATGAAGATATAGCGAAGAGGATAGAAGATTTCTCATCTGGTACGGGAAGTAGTGAAGTTGTTAAAATACAAACAAAGTTTGCACATGTTTTTGGTCGAGTTGATCGGATGGATGGAGAAGACGATGAAGACAGGAAACAAAAGAAGGCGAATATTCTAGCCAAAGCGTTATCTCTCTTCGAAGATTTTATGATCAAGTTGGATGGAATCGATGCAGACCTCAGAATGGCTAATCAAGTTCCGCCAGCATTAAGTATTTTGCAAGGTGCTGCAACTAGTCAAGCATTTCAAGCGTCGGTACATAGTGTACCAAGTTCTTCTCCTAGAACGTGGCCTTCAGTTAACCAAGGGGCCAATGCTAAAATGATACCACCACACAAGTGGTCTATAGAGAAATTTTCGGGTAACTCAAAATCTACTTCTGTATCAGCTTTCTTTGAAATGGTTGAGGAACTACGCTTAGCGAGAAATGTACCCCCCGAAGTGTTATTGGAATCAGGTTTGGATCTATTCGTTGATAAAGCGTACCAATTTTATAAGGAGTGTCGTCGTAGAGTGAATTCTTGGGAAGGACTAGTAGAAGAATTCCGTGAAGAGTATTTGTCTGCTAACCATAATGAGGCATTATTCGAAGAATTGCGGAAGAGAACTCAGCACCCAACAGAATCCATAGGAGTATACCTGGCAGTTATGTCTAGTTATTTTAGTAGGTTGCGATGTCCAGTACATGAGGAAGTAAAACTGTCGATCATCATAAGAAACCTGCATCCGTTTTATCAGGATCGACTCCGAGACCCTCTACCCACCACTATAGACGAGCTAAGGATTGTTTGCAGAAAAATGGAAGCCAGACGTGATTCAATAAATAGTTACGTCGAACCACCAACCAGAAGAATGAATGTTTTGGAAAAAGACTTAGCTTTTGTGGAAGTATCACACAGCTTGGATCAACTGGATATAACTTCGAGTTCACCAACCACTTCGGCTAGCCGACAAATTACTTGCTTTAGATGCAATCAAGTCGGTCACAGAGCTATTGGATGTGCATTGCCAAAAAAAATATATTGCTTCAAGTGTAAAGCGGAAGGTTTCACGTCGAAGAATTGCCCAAAGTGTGCCAAAGAGGGAAACGGGGTCAGACGCTCCTAAGTGGTCNAATATTGGCGAGATATTTCCCACAGAAAACTTGAAATTGATTTACTGGCAGATAAAATTCTTTTCTTTATTTATCAGCTCTAATTTTATTTTGTTTCACTTGGAGAATAGTATTCATTCAATTTGTGATATTAAGCAAAAATAATTTTATTGTTGTGTATGCTGTACTTTACCTTCTATTGCCAAGTTCAGAAATAAGTTATGCTTATAGAGGATGGAACTTCGAATTGAATCAAATATGTTTTCAACACGATATTTTCCAAGAACTATGGTGGACTCCATCTTGTTTTTGTATTCAGGATGAACTAGTAGTTGGGTTGATCAAATGATTGTATTGTAAAACCGGCTTATCTTGGTATCATAGTATGTTGGATGGGGTGGCCGCCGAACCTTTGAGAAAACTGCAATGGAGGTTATATAATGGTCGATTGTTCAAACATATCAAAACTTTTTAGTTTGGATTGACGAATGTATGTGTGAGGTAAAACTTCGTTAGTCCTTAGCTCGCACAAGTTTCAACTTCTGAGGGTTGTCGTTCGTAGGGGTGCAAGCTGGTTGACAAAAAAAACAGCTGATTAACGAAAAAACAGATTTTTTTTTAACATAACATATTGATGTCGGTCGGTAGCCGGTCGGTTCGACGTAGGTGCTTTGTTCACTCACACACTGTGTTGGTTGGTGGTTCGAACCCCAGGCTGAACGATCGATTTTCACTTGCTATCGTCCAACCCGTGTTGGACGTTAAAATGTAAGAGCTCGTTATCCTTAGCTCACACAAGTTTAGACTTTTGAGGGTTGTCGTTCGTAGGGGTGCGACAGTTGGTTAACAAAAAAACAGATTTTAAACAGATTGGAAAGTATTGGTTCCGAAAGAACGTGGAAGTCTCTGATTAAAGAAGCCGACGATCCTCTTACATCTGGGCACATGGGCCTTTCAAAAACTCATAGCAAGATTTCCGAGAGATATTATTGGCCGAAACTCAGAAATCATGTAGAGAAATATATCTTTTATATTTATATCAAGATGTCTTGTATACTTGTTTTTATGTGTCATTGAGTAATGATAGGGTTACATCCTCACAAATTTAGTGTGTCCATGTATGTATATACTCTACTTTGTCAATGTAAATTATCTTTTAACCTCTAAACTATTACTTTAGAAGTAACTTCTTTTTTTGTAGTAGGTGTATGGGTTTTACACCCCATCAGACCAGACACGTCCAATGTATTGTATAATAGGAATACGGATTTAATAAAATTTGATTTGATTTGATTATGTAATGTTCATTTGTGCCGTTTATAACGGTGAGCAACAAGGTCCTAGTTTATACTTACCTAGTAGAATCCATTCTAAGATACAGTATTATAATATTGGGAGGAGCCTTCGTTAACAACTTACGTCCTCTATAAATCATACAAAATTCGATCATAAAAATCATATTCAGAAAAAAAAAACAGTATTCCACAAAATTACTATATGAAGAAACAAAAATCCTACCAATCAGTCTTTTGTATGTTCATCAATGTATAATTCGAGTTCACACAACTAAACACTCACTTCGAAGCATATCTGTCCAACAAACCAGACAAACTAGTAATGAAGAATTAGCAATACATACAAATCTTAACTATTTCTTGAAGAATATATAATGTTTAAAAAATATGTGAAAAGAAATAACCATTTCGTTCTATAATTATTGTAAAATGAAATCATTCGATATTTATTTCTTTTAATTTTTCACTTCATACAGGGAGTATCAATTTTTGGGTCGTCATATGATGATGTCATTATTTTTTTTATTTTGAGGAAGATTGATTTTTCTATAGTGAGTTGATAAATTACGGGGTGGGTAATTTCATTTTTCATAGTGATGATATTTTTGTGTTCAGTTTTCGTTTGATGAATGTCTAAGATATATCGAGGTATGTTCTAAATAAAAGTGGCTTCAGTTTGAGTTAGTTAGTAAACCAGAGGTGCAATAGCCACCAGATCACATGATGAAAGATCTAATTGATGTTGGACAATGAAATCTTATCAAATTGATAAAATGAATACACGCACACAATCAGAAGTTTGACTGCGAGATAAATGCAATAGTTCATGTCATTATTTAACGACATATTAGAAAATTTCATCTTTTTTGAAAGCTCAATGTTTGGGTTTGAAACTCGTCAACTAATTAGAAAATCCTGACCTGATCTGCCTAGCCTGATTTGGTTTAACTGGCTGAGTATACAGATTTTTGATGTGACTGGCAGGTTTGGCATTTAGGATACCAGAGGCATCAAAGGACCTGGCAAGTTCGAACGCAAGTACCTAGTGATAAGCGGAAACTTTTTATTATTGTATAGTTTATGCATGTATTATGTGCATGTTTGTTCATTATATCATTACAATAGATGTTGATTTATCCTTTTTGTCAATTACTCGCCTGATCGATTCCGTTATTTCATGTTTTGAGTGACATAAACTTTTGAGAAATTTTTTTGGACAATTGAAAAACATGTGGCGCCCATTATATATG